ACTTTAGATGGATTTATCGAGGTCTTTTGTTCTTATTGTTTATACACTCGCTTGTTAGTTAGCTCGACACAATGTTGCATCTGTTCTTCACTGCTGGAAGAACTTCAGTGGAGTCTGATTTTTTTTTTTTTTATATTTCAAATGTTATAATTTTTTCTGTTGGTTTATTGCAGGATGGGTAGGTTGGACGCTCAACACTGATCAAAGTATCACCATTGTTGTCAATGATTATCGTACACACACTGATTGAAACATGAAAAATGCTTTTACTCACTATTGATATGTTGTGTTTAGTTATCCACATAATAATAACCAGACAACTATCTCTACTCCTTTTTCTTTTTTTGCAGGCATTTCGTCCCAAATCTTACGATTGGAGTTCCAGTCATTGAGAGTCTAAGGAAGCATACTAGGTAATCCCTTCTTATGCCCCTTCCTCTCGAATTCATGACCTTAACTATGTTGCTGTTGGGTTTGGTTAAGTATGGAAAAGTATCATTTTTCTTCTCTTGTAGGGCATATTTGGATTGTCACCTTATGGTAACAAATCCTCTCGATTATGTTGAACCGTTTGGAAAAGCTGGTGCTTCGGGTTTTACATTTCACGTTGAAGCATCCAAAGGTGCATTATGATGTTTTTTCAAGGTTTTTTTTTCCTGTGTGGGTGTGTGGGGCTTGTGAGCTCGTGCCAATGTGCGGATCTTATTTTGGTGTCCTTTAGTTTTTTTTTAATGATGGAAGAGTGCATGTTACCTTTTGTAGATAATTGGCAAGAACTTGTGGAGCGAATCAAGTCAAAGGGCATGAGGCCTGGTGTGGCATTAAAGCCTGGCACACCCATTGAAGAAGTGTATCCACTGGTATGTGTCAGCTCTATTTCTTGATTTTCAAGTTCTTAGATCTTCCATTCTAGCTGCCTTTCAACTATTTTTGCACAAAAGGAGAAATCATATAAGTAACCATATTTGTCTTTTCTTGTTCTACAGCTTGAAGGTGAAAATTCTGTGGAAATGGTTCTTGTTATGACCGTGGAACCTGGATTTGGTGGACAAAAGTTCATGCCAGAAACGATGGATAAAGTGCATAAATTGTGTTTCATCTTTGTTTAGACTTGTATTACCATCCTTGTTAGTTTCATAACCTTTTAAGTTTTAATTTCAGGTAAGTGTGCTGAGAAAGAAGTACCCGTCACTTGATATAGAGGTGAGTTCTTTTCTATTGATAATACTATGACTTTGAATTTTGTGCCCATACTCTTGGTTCTTTTTTCCTTAGTCTCTACCAAAGTTACCTGGAACTTCATCCCAAGGAGGATTTCTTGTTTCAGGGTTTTCATCCTGAAAAATATTGGCTGTCATCTTGGAAGCATTCTGGAATCTGGAGACTTTTGAAAGATATTTTGAAAATACTAAACTCTTCGTTTACTAGTTGATAAAGTTTATTAAGCTAGCTTGTTTGGTTGTGAAATTGTTTATTAGGAAACAGTTAGCTAAAGTTTGATGTCAATTGAATTTGATTTTTAAAAGTGAGAGGAACATTGCATATTTGTGTTCCCTTTTCCCTATGTTGTCTTCATCTTTTTGCATGTCCAAGTGAAGCTCAGTAGTGAAGTATGCTTGACATTCATATCCCAAGCTAATGTTGAGTGAAATGTTTCTATTTCTTGCTTTGAAGTGTATGAGGACTGGAGTTCCTTCTCTATTTTGCTGATTCAGTGTTAAAATTGAGATATTGTTTTACGGCTCAGGAATCTCAAAAAAAAAAAGAGAGAAATTAAAAGAAATAAAAAAGTAAAAGCACATCACCCACCAACCCAACTTTTGATATTTCTTCATTGTGTGAATTGAGCACTATCTGAAACGGGGTTTACTTTGTTTTGCAGGTCGACGGTGGTTTAGGGCCTTCAACCATTGATGTGGCAGCTTCAGCAGGAGCAAATTGCATTGTGGCAGGAAGTTCAGTGTTCGGAGCTTCAGAGCCAGCCCAAGTGATATCCCTTATGAGACATAGCGTGGAGAAAGCACAGAACATCAGTTGATATGATACAGGCAAGAAACTTGCTCAATGAACACTATCTACACAATTGGCGTGTATATTATTAACCAGTTTAAGGTTATTAAAATGTGATATATAATAAGCCAATACGATTTGCCAGATTATTGTTCTATCATCTCATATCTGTACCAATAATGGAGTGCACGTTAAATTGTTGACTGAGATGACTTTGAGGGGTACTTGGAGTAATGTGATTGTTTTTGAACCAACTTCTCTGTAGGTGCATCATTTTTATGCTTTGTTTTCAGACTTACAGCTCCAACCAAGTTATTTTTTATGCTTTGTTTTCAGACTTACAGCTCCAACCAAGTTATTTTCCTGCATCATTTGGTGTAGTCATAGAACCCTGGCTTGCACATCTGCTTGGGTTGCATTTTGATTACACTGCCATAATTCTGTAAGATTTGTGACACTATGGATGATTTTATTGTAAATTAGTAAGCTCATATGGTGGTTCCAAACACTGGATTTGCATGATTTTATTTCATATCCCCCCCCCCCCTCCTCTTTTCTCTCCTTACGTTGCAGTTTGAGGCCTTGTAGCGATCAGTTTAAAAACCCTTAGATAGCTGTGGCTGCAACTGAGTGGCTCTTCCTTACAAGTTTTGAATGATGCCCTCTCTGTTCCTTGATGGATTTCCATGTCTTTACTTTTCAATGTTGGAACTTGGAAGTCAATTAAATATTTGCAGTTGTTGTTTTATTTAACAATTACTTGTATATATGTATATATATATATTGTATGTATGGGGTATTGGGATAATTTTTGAAACAATGAGGACACCCTTGAAATTGCTCATATCGTAGGGGTTGTCATTGCAATTATCCCCCATGATTATTATTATTTTTTACTTGTTTGTATGCGTAATCTGTGACGCATGGCTGTTGGACGTCCAAACAGGCCAACACATATTCTAAAGCGCAAAATAGGAAATATGCAAGTGTGTACAACATCTCCTGAACACATTTTGAAGTAATCTATGGCTGGCAGTGGCAGTGGCAGTGGCAGTGGCAGCTAATATGTTGCTTGGCACCTTAACGGCAATTTGTTGGTTCTAAAAGACAGAATGTCGACGACAAAAAGTCAGGTTAAAATCTTTTAAGAATATTACTGATGCTGTGGATTCCCCCTTAGGCCCTATCTTATTCATTCCAAGTGAAGTGAAAGTGTAAGCAGTGTGGCGGAATCACGTGCATTTGACACCCTACGCTGTCGGATATTTATTTGTCCACTAGTTTAGTACTTTGGTTTCTTCGAGGCACTCCACTCCAGGCTTTTTCAACCAAAAAAGTGCTTGTATTTATTCCACGGTGAAAGTTAGACAGATTTAACCACAACTCTCCACATACTTTAGGGTTCTTCAGTCAACGGACGGACCGACCAAGGACACCATTCAATTATCCCAATAAGCCTTCTTCCTAAACTCAACTAATTCACTGGGGTTTGTGCTGAAAATAAAAAAGTTAAATGCTAGTCTAACATAGTATAAAAACGGCATGCTGCTCCTCCATTCAAATTCTGTCGTCACCTTGATAATCATAAAACTTGTACGTGCTTGGCCCAAAGTTATTAGTTATGTTACTTTTCCGATGGGATATGTTGGAGAGATGGAAATGGGGATAAGAATTGCAGCCTCTCTGTTTGGGTCTGTTATTCTATTGATTGCAATAGAGAACTCCATTGGGGAGTGACGTGTGAAGAGAGAGAATAAAGCAGTCGATTGGTCTTTTTGGGTGCTTGTCAACCAAGGGCATTCATGGCCATTTTGACCCAACTATCTTTCAGCTTTGTTTTGATGCCTCAGCTTTACCATGCATGGAGGTTTCCTCTTTTTAAATTATTCTGCCTTTTTTTTTTCCTGGCCCCTTTATATTCCAAAATAATAATCATTCTGTTCTGTATCTAAACTTATGCCTCATACCATTATTGAATGCTTCCAACACACTTATGCTCCCGTCATGAGTGTGAACACAGTATCCTTTTTATTTTTGAGATTTGCGAACGAACAACATAGTTCGATGTGCGAAGCATATGTCTTGGTTCTGGGAACAAATTAAAGTGTCTTTTTCGAGCACATGCATGTATATGTAGACGACTATTCACGTTGGCGGATGTAAAAGCCAAAGAGTCCTTCAAAGTACTTGCGATTAACGATCAATTTTTTTTTTTTTTTTCGGTTTGAGTAAAAATGAATCAAAAATTGAAAAATGAATTTCAAATTGTTTCGTAATGATTCTTCTAATGTTTTGGAATTAAAAGTTAGTGTTTTTTCCTCAGTTTATTTTTCTTTTCGAAACGTCTCAGTTTTAGAACTGATCAAACATATTCAATCAAAACAAAATTTTGATTCTTGATTGTGATCACCAGCAATTGCATATTTAGACGGTTGATGATTATCTCCCTTCAGCTAAAGGAATCAAGTTCCAAGTAGGGCGGTTGCCCAATTTACTGGAGTCTGATTAAAAAATATCTTATAATTATAACCCCAAGAATCCTGTCCATTAGATCCCATTAATATATTAAGTATTCATCCTCTCAAAGTGAGAAATCTCATCTGTTTTCTAGGTGCCCATGTGGAAGTGAGTGGTCCTGCATATACCAACTATGATCAGTGAGCTCCAACTAAGTTTCTTCTGGGCTATTACCTCTGTTCTTGACACAACTTGCTAAGCTGCTACTCTACAGCTCTCTGGATCCTTATGGCTGCCGTTGTAATGGTAATATATCACAGGATCAGTCAGAAACATATGCTCTAGTACATACTCTCTTATCTCTATTCAATCCGCGCGAGTTTTTCTAGTATTACTGAGTCACTGGAGGGCTTGAAAGCTTGCAAGGCTATCACCATGGGGTTTTGGGGATAAACTTCAATTATCGATCCCATTGAGATATGCTTGTCCATTTTCATTTGAACTCAGTTGACAAGCCAAGCTTTTGCTGTCTTATCCTCTAAGCCAAGGCGACAGTTTTTAACCTGGCCTTAAATTTCAGTACTTCCCCAAAAACAAAATTTCTAGCCAGAAAGCCTGGTATTGGCATCAACTCTTCCCATTCCATCCAACAGTAAGCCTATCCTTGGCTCATTATTGAAAACCCGTTGGCCCGATTTGGATATCCAGCAACTAACATACAAGTGAATCTACACAAGAAAAAGTCGACAATGTGGGATACTGGACTTTACATTGCTCTTGGTGGGATTGCGTTTGGGGTGAGCGTTGCTATTGCAGCAGCCTTCTTGGTGATCCAATGGAGAAAGAATAAGCAGAATTCATGCAAGCTGGTGGATGTGGAGCTACAACAGCTTGGTTTAAGTGTGAGAACCACTAACGAGAAGAAGGTTTCTTCTGCAGAGGAATCCGAAGATCCTCTTGATGGTCAGATTATCAATAAAGCACAAGGTAAGATGGTGGTGGAGACATACACTATAGAGGAACTGACAAAGGCAACCGAGGACTTCAATTCAAGTAATCTCATTGAGGATTCTGTATTTCATGGTCGCCTCAATGGGAAGGAAGTGGAGATAAAGCGCACACCGACTGAGACCATCTCAAAGATTGAGTTCGAGCTATTCCAAGATGCAATTCAACATCACCCTAACATAATGTGGCTCTTGGGAACCTGTGTGATTGAGGGCCCTGACTCATTTTTGGTTTTCGAATATGCCAGGAACGGGTCCTTGAAGGACTGGCTTCATGGTGGATTGGCAATGAAAAGCCAGTTCATTGCCTCGTGCTATTGTTTCTTGACATGGAGCCAGAGGCTAAGGATCTGTCTTGATGTGGCTACAGCCTTACAATACATGCACCACATTATGAATCCTAGCTACGTGCATAGGAACATCAAGAGTCAGAACATCTTCTTAGATGAAGAATTCAATGCCAAGATGGGGAATTTTGGGATGGCTAGATGCGTTGAAGGTGATTCTGAGGACCAGAAATCTGATTCAAGTCATCCTCCCTCTTGGAGTAAAGGGTACTTGGCACCTGAATATCTTCAGCATGGTGTAATTACCCCGAGCATGGATATTTTTGCTTATGGGGTGGTTTTGCTAGAGGTTTTATCCGGGCAGACGCCCATAACCGCGCCCAATGAGAAGGGAGAAAGAAGTGTTTGGCTATCCGAGAAAATCAAGAGCATATTGCAGTCCGATAATGCAGATGAGCTGAGGGGATGGATGGACAATGCGGTGGGTGAAGATTATTCATTTGATGCAGCTGTTACATTGGCCAATCTTGCAAGAGCTTGCACAGAGGATGACCCATCGTTGAGACCAAATGCTGGAGAAATCGTTGAGAAGTTACTCATATTGGTGGAAGAATTACCAGCAGCAGAGCAATTCTCAACTCGTGAAGGCTCCTGCAAACTTCTTGTCAAGGCAGCTGCAAAAGATATTTCAACACCAATCTAAGGATGTCACAGATGAATCAATATTTCTCTTACTCTCGCTATTCAAGGAGCCTCTAAAGGTGTATGCTTTTTCCTTCTGCTATTAGAAATGCATCGGATTCTGTATAGATGTAACTAAAAACCAGATTGAATTAGAAATATCAGGCCTTTTAAGTTTTTTTTCCACCTCCTCAAAACTTACATCTCTTGGTACTAAGTTTGGATTGCTGTATTGTGCACGAGTAGAAGAGGTAACAAGGCCATTGGGCTTCAATCAAATATTTTCAATGCCCCCTTCTTTTTGGCTAAAATTATTAGCAGAAAAACTACTGACTAGTAGAGGAGTGTTGATCGTAAAAAGGCGTTTTCCTCGTCGAACATCGCTTGACCATTTAATCGTCGTACGAGGACCCGAGATGCTTATTGTTTTGTCGAAGCAGCTAATCTCCACCCTTCCTCATTGCAGTGCTTCTTTGAGTGAAGGAACGGTACAGCTTATTTTTCCAATAAGTTGTTATATCACACGTTAACATCTAGGACCGATCCGACCTTTTTTAAATGGTAACTTCATCTTTTGGTATTATAACTTGTTCCAAGTTGAGTCGTAATCCCACCAAGTTAAGTCGTAATCTATGATCATGATCTCCTAACTTCAGGATGGTGCTAAACTGCATACCATATTCGATATTCGTCCTGATCTTGTCTAAGATCAAATATGCCGGTTATCAAACAGGAGTCAAGTCCTGCTGATTGCTGAACATATGACAAACTTTATTTAGCCATTTGTCCAACAGGCACATTGTTTATGGGCCATCTAGTGTTCCAGATTGAAAACGCTTACGGCTATTCACTTCGGGGCGGGGAGATTTATTAGATGAAGATATCATACTTATTGCCAATTGTGCAACAAGAAAGTGCTCATGCCCTGGACCAGGATGAGCCACTGCTCCACTGCACCGGTCTTCTCTCTCACATAGAGCTTGGATGTCCTCTACATAAGAAAGGACAAGTCTAGAGCTCAGCCCCTTTCCTAGCTTGAATGCTTTGGTCATAGCTTCATATGGGTCTTTCCTAAAACAGGAGGAACTACTAGCTAGGTTCCTAAAAGTCCAGAGCTAAGTGGATTTTTCATGGAAAAAGAAATACCAAATTCTTCCACATTACTACAATCACCAAGAAAAAGAAAGAGTAGGGTTGACATGGGTCTCCGATCCTGAGGGGTTGAGAACTGTGTTTCTTGAAAAACTTTGGAGACCTCCACTCAAAACCCAACGCGGGTGATGGAAACAATCACCTTTGTGATGAATATCTAGACTGTCTATATATCTATTTTTTCAAGGTTTACATGTAATGTAGTTTTTTTTTTTTTTTTGGAGATCGTCGAAGTTTGTGTCGATTATTCTCTCGAGTTCAGTAGTCAACCACCGTGACTTGAACTAACTTAAAACATGTTGCTAAAAGGATAAAGATAGTTTTTAGGAGTTATAGTTCCCCATTTTATTTATTTGACAAATGATCAATCTTAAGGAAAAAATAGAAACTAAATATTCCAATAAATATCTATATACATCCCTGGTCAAGACTACAATCAATGGGTGATAATTAAAAGTACAAAAAAGGCACCAAAAAAAAAAAACTCAACATGCCATCATCACGTTGAACTCGTCAAAATTGAGGACTCCATCACCATTGAGATCAAAATAAGCTATCATCACTTTGCATTCATCAATGGTTTTGGACTCCCCTAACCTACTAAGAGTCCTCCTCAGGCTTTTTGGTGTGATAAAACCACAATCCTCCATCTCATACATCTTAAAAGCCTCTCTCATATCTTTCGCCTTCTCTTCCTCTCCTGCTCCTTCCAAAAATCTCACAAAATCATCCAAACACAAGTACCCATCTCCATCCGAGTCCATTAACAGCACTGCTGCCTTTGCATCCTCTATCGAAAGCTCTCTGCCTATCGACCCGACACACTGTTGCAACTCTGAAGGTGATATCTTCCCATCTCCGTTGTCATCAAAGTGATTAAACACAGTTTCATATTGCTGGTGTTTGTCCATTTATCATTCAACCTAAGCCTAGTCAAGTAGAGTTACGTACAAAAGGATTGTGAAACCTGAAGGAGAAAATAGATAGTGTGTGTGTGTTAAAGAGCTGATATGACAGCTTCTATATCAAAATAAGTAGATAAGAAAAATGAGAGGCAGAAATGTATGAAGCCTGCATGAGCATGAGCTGAAACAGAAGGTTTTTCTAATGCCTGTACCTTGTTTGGCTTCTCAACTTTCTGCTATATATAAATAGGGTTATGATGCCGCGTGACGTGGGTTGACCAAACAACTTGTTCAAATGGGGTTCAAAGAAATGAAGGAACGTAGAGTTTTCGTGGTTAAAGAGGATGACCTCTCTCTTCACAATTGGCATGCTTTTTGAGCTTTCCAGAAAAGTAAGAACCAACAAGGAAGTGTCTGATATGCCCAAGTCAGGATTAGGAAGAGGGAGGACAAATACAAAGTTGAAAAACTTCCAACAGGGTCCAGACTCTAGCTAGAGGAAGAGGGACGAGCCAGAAAGTTTTAAACCGTCCAAACGGCCACGACCACAGAAAGAGAAATCAACTTTTGGGGTCAACCACGGTTCTGTGGTAACTGTTCAAATTTTTTTTCAACAGTGGGGTTGTCCACGTGAACTTATGCGCAAACTAATATATTTTTTGGTCTGGTTAAAAGAAGGTCATTCACATTAGAATTAGAATATTCATGAGAGATAAATTTGACCTGACATCAAAAAATTGTCAAGATTCGAATTTAAGACATCTAAAAATGTCAAAATTCAAGTTCAAAATGTCTGAATTCACAACTTATTTCTATTACCATTTAAATTATCCATTAAGTCTATTGTTGGTACACGTTTGGGATTATTATGGAATATCTTTTCGAATTGAACTTGAAACTTTCAAATTTATTGATTTATTTTACTAGTTGCTTTAATCGTAGCGAAGAGCCCTTGCACCAAATCCTCGGGTCTATAACGGTGCCTCTTAGAGGGAAGCAGGAGAGAATTTTCGGAGAGGAAAAAATTATGCGGTTCTGGTGGATAGAGAGAGGCAAGACCAACAAATTCCTCGTGATAATCAAAGCAGGGTTTGATAACCTATTCAAATTAGGTGACCCATGTCCATTGTCCAATATATTTATGTGGACACATCCATGGGCCAACCCACGCCACAATATCAATAGTGGAAAGCTTTAATGATGCCCGAGTTTCATTGTTTTCAACCCAAAAGTCAACATGGTTTTTAAAAGCTATTCCCATGGAATAAAATCGGATAGTGTCCATTCACATTGCGGATTGTACGCCTTCTGGTTGAAAATACAAATTAAGAGCTTGATAAGCAGTACTACAAAATGTCAAAACTTAGGGGAGAGAGAGAACTCAGAGAAGGACAGAGAAAAAAAGAAGGGGGGTGGTTCCATGGACGGTGATTGGAAATTTGGATTATTAAAACCACAAAAGAAAAAGGAAGAGAATTTGGTTTTATTCAGTATATTTACTTGTATTAATTGGTGTACACGTGCGTTATATGTGAACTATTTTGAATTGTATTTTTTATTTTTGTTGTTTATTTTGTGCTGGATTATATGTTTTTGTTTTTATTGTATATAATGATGTTAGATATCAAAAATATTTTTATGTTATTCTGCATGTCCAAGACCACCCAAGCTCAACAAAACATATTTAGAGATGCAAAATATATTGTTTTTGCCGGCCTTTATTTTGTAACTACCAAACTTTCGAGAAAATAAATATGTAGCAACCAAAATTTTAGAGCATGCAAGAAAATCTCGTCCACTCCATTTGTGCAATGACCTTCTCTATCTTTATAGGCCTTTGCCTTGTTGATGCGTCCAAACTCGTGGCATTTTGTGTATCATCTCCTTTATTGTAATGCACCAAAATCTATTCAAAAAATTTTGGAACCTACCAAATTCCACACTGCAACCTTTATAACTAATTACAAAACCTCAACCATGCAGAATGAATAAACATAACAACTAAAAGAAAGAAGAACAATAACACACTATTAGCATCTAATTAGAACTCTCAAACAAAATAGGCCTTTTGTATTTAAAGAGACCGTGTATATATATTCCTCTTTCTTCTGTTTCTTACTATTTTCACCTTACCAAATAGAACAAGAATAAAATTTATGTGGAGAGAGTAAAAAAAAAATTACAAAAATATGAGATTTCCTCTACTCAGTTCCTCTATTTATAGGCAACAAAACAAGAAAGGTTTCACTAACTAGGTTAATTAAGTGGGTATAGAAAAAGGTCTATTTCTTTTAGCTTCTCTAAAGGTGGTTGGAAAAATTAAAAGGTTGAAAAAATGTTAATAATATTTAATTCTCTTTATGCAATTGTCTGAGGGGAGTTTGGAGATTTAAATTTTTTTCATAAATCTTGACATGATAAATGTGAATTTATAGCAATATTTTATGATAGATTTAAAAGTTTAGAAACTCAAAAGTTTTTTACATTTAAGTCAATTTTTTTGTTTAAGGCATAATTGTCTTTGTAAGATCATTTAAGGACAAAATAGGAGTGTGACATTAATTATGAAGGATAAGGATGGAATAGTTGTATTATTGGGGGGGTAAAAGTGAAAAAAAAAATTCAACTATGTTGATATTTTAAAGTAATATAGATTTGATCAAAAAAAAAAAAGTAGTATAGATACGGACTAGGGGTGACAGTGGTGACTAAGTTTTTATCCCTATCTCTGCCCCGTGGGTAAATTTTGATCTCCGCCCCGCTCTTGTCCATTATAATTAATTTATGTGATTTCAAGAAAAAAATTAAAAAAAAAAACCATAACAATTAAAGTATAAGCAATATCATTGTATATCTGTATCACAAGATTTAATCAAAACTAAAAACAAAGAAACAAATTAACAACATAATCCTTACATAATTAAGCAAAAACAGCAACAATAATAAAAATATATATTTATGTCTCTCTTGGCGTCTTGATTCTCTTGAATTAGGGCTAAGGATTCCTGAGTTTTGGTCTATCCCACATTCATCCCGCACGAGTTTATACGGGTATTTTCGTACATGCCTATCGTTTAATATGTATGATCCAAATAAAATAATTTTAACGAATTTCCGTTTTTCCCAGTTCACTGTTATCTCTAATATGTATATTCCTTGTTTGTTTATATTCTTCAAGATAGCTGGTGCTTATTTATATATCTTGGCCCCAACCGTCAATTACATGGGATTGATTTCCTGGAAGATCCTAAATCAACCCATATACCTCACAACAGCATGATAGAATATACATAATAGCATGTATGCAAAATGCATACCGTGTGCTTAGTACTTAATTTGTTTAGGGAATCTCTCTTAAACATTCTACTATATATGGAGCAATCGTTTCAACTTGCAATCTCATTCTCTAATCAAATAAACTAAAATCAGAATAGCAGCCAAATTGGATGTTTGCTTTCAAACAACTAATAAGTTGTGTTAATTCTTTTAAAGAAGGTACTATGAATCTAAACGAGATCCATTGTATATTAATTACAGGTAATCTGTAGCTGAAGGTATGGTGCAATGTTAATAATTTTGAGAGGGATGTTAGTGGCCGTTGGATGAGTCTATTTAAGACTGTCGGATGAACTTATTGAAATTTACCCTATTTTATATTATAAATGATGCTTCCGTTCATGCACGGCGGAAATCTGTTATTAAAGAATATTGACAAAATATATTGGTCGGAATCCCAATAACAATCCAACATCGGCACATCACTAATGTAGCCAACAATTCAATATAATTGGAGAGGTGAATGTCTCTTTGAACCCTACTAAATTATCAAATTCTAATGATTGAAATTCTCACATTACATCATCAAATCAAATAAAAAGGTAGCAATGTAGGCCAAAAGTAAATATATGATACATTTTCTAATAATTTTTTTTATAGTATTTGTTATATAATCTTATTTTTATATACAATTGTTTACATAATACTCAATTTTAAGTATTTTCAATAACAATTTGGTACTCATTTTTCTTAAAATGGGGCAAATTGATAATTTTTTATTTGATTGAAATATTTCAATCTTTCAGAATATAAATTAAAAATGTAAAGATCTTTTGAGGTACAAAGTGTCATTTGCACTAATTTGAGGTTTTACATAGTTAAAAGAGTAATGCTAGATAGACTTAAAAATCAAACTTGATAATTTCAACTATTGAATAGGTAGTGGGTCTCAATAAATACTGAGACCCACAGTGAATTCAATGACTGTAATTATCAAGTCTGATTTTTAAATCTATTTTTTAAGTTCACGTAGCATTAGTCTAGTTAAAAGGCACAATTTCCTTATCTCCACTTGCTAGGTTTTAAAATCCATTTTTTATTTTTTATTTTTCGAGTTATTAAAAACACAAGCTATCGATATCCAATAATCTGATCAAATTTTCTAAACTAATACATTTGTTGGATATTTCTGGTACTGGACAAATTATCATATTATTAGATGGATTATTTTGAAGTTGGGTACACTTAATTAGATTTATTTGATAAAAAATATATATAACAAAATATTTTAAAAAAAATATATACATTTAAATTACAAAGACATAAATGCCTAGGACAGAGTACAAACACGCCACCACTGCAAAGGAAGAAGACGTAAGCCGTGTCATTTGAAAAAAGGTCATGGTGTCTCTAAAACCATATAAACCTCATTTGGCAACCCCACTTTCAAACTCTCTTTGACGCTTCGTTCTCTCTCATTAAACCCTTTCTCTGTTTCTTTTTCCACAGCCGCCGCCTTGGCCATGCTTTGCCGCCTGAGAATGTCACTGCCACCACTAAGGCGGCTCATCAGTGTCAGAAGAGCCTACGGATCAAGCGCTGCGGCTCAGCTCCAGTACGACTACGACTACGACTACGAAGAAGACGAAAGCGAATTGTATCGTGATGGCAATAGGTCGATGGAAGACTCTGAGGAATCGGTATCGGGGAGGGGAGTGCATTGGGTGATAATAGGGGATCCAATGGTGAAGAGGCACGAGTACGCCGAGAGGCTGTCGAAGCTTCTTGAAGTTCCCCACATTTCCATGGGCGCCCTGGTTCGTCAAGAACTCCACCCTCGCTCTTCTCTCTACAAAGAGGTTTGTTTCTTTTTCTCTCTTTCCTTTTTGTTTTCATTAATTTGTAAGAAACATATTTATGTACTCCTCTTTCCTTTTTTTGCCCCCTTTTTTGTTGCCAATAAATGTATAGAATTTTTAGGGGGAATAGTATGTACTATGTAGAGTTCTCATGTGTCCAAGAATAGTATGTACTATGTAGTTGGTTGTGGTTCTTAAAGGCGATGTAAGGATGTATTCTAAATGTAGAATTTTTCTTAACATCAAGTGTCATGGAATTTTTTTATTACTTCTCGTATTGTTAGCATTTAGAAAAGGTGGAATTCGCTTGATTAAAGACACCCAAAATATTGGGAAATTCTTATGGGGCATCAGACTACCTATTGATAATCTTGGTTACACCATTTAATCGATGCCCTCGTTGCATCCTTTTAATTTTATGTTCTCCTTTTCTTGCCCCAACTTTTAGATTGCAAATGCTGTGAACCAAGGGAAGCTTGTTCCAGAAGATGTCATATTTGGCCTGTTGTCAAAGAGGCTGGAAGACGGATACTACAGGGGCGAAACTGGGTTCATATTGCATGGAATTCCTCGAACAAGGGTCCAAGCTGTAAGTTCCTTTTCATAGAAATAATGTTGAATCTCATTCCTTTTGTTTTGTACTTTTTTGCGTTTTTTGAGTATGCAGGTTTGGTTTTATGTAAAAGCTTACAATATTATCATAATTGAAAACTCTACATTTTTATGAGAAACATTGTTTCAATTTACATATACTATTGTATTGGAAAAGTTCAAATGCCAAACTGTCATATACACAATAATGTGTTCTTGAAATGCTAGCTATATCTCTACATATTTTATATGTAAAGTGGAATGAATAAAATATCCTGAGAAAGAAGAAGCATTCCAATTGTTATTTCTTGATGTTAATGAGTAACAAGAATTCCTCTTGGTGATTCTCTGATATCAGTGTTGTGGTTTATGCTTATGATTTTAACCTTTGGATTACTTGTGTACTACAGGAGGTCCTCGACCAAATTGCTGACATAGATCTAGTTGTCAATTTCAAATGCTCAGAAGATTGCTTGGTGAAACAGCATTTGGGAAGTGGAGTTCATTCTCCTTCTCAAGATTTTCTTAGCATGGGCAGCTCTGGACCAAATTTAAATATTCCGTCACACGACAATAAGACCAAAGATTCTAGTGTCGAAATAGAAGCTGTCTTGAAAGAGAAACTCCGTTTATATGCGGAGCAGGTATCCCTCGTGCTTGACTAGTCAGTTTTTTTTTTTTTTTAATTCTTGTTCTTTTGTAAATTTTTCTGTTGCTTTAGTCGGTATGTTGAAGGGTAGCAAGCACATGTGTTGGTACGTTTTCAGTTTATTCTGGCATTAATTACTAACATCATAATTTCTCCTCAGAGGAAGCCATTAGAAGACTACTACAGGAAACAGGAAAAGCTTCTCGACTTTTCAGTGGCTGGTGCACCTGGAGAAACCTGGCAAGGTCTTTTGGCCGCGTTGCATCTTCAGCATATGAGTGCTGTCAGTTGTTCACAGAAGTTGACTGCATGATCTGGCTGCACTGATCCCCCCATTTACCTTATCTTCATTCTTATTCCGGCATCATATAGTAAATACAAAGAAAATGAGTGTAATAGAGTTAGCTGCAGTTTTGCATCTCCCATTTGATTTTGATAAATTTTTGTTTGCCGTGATAAACTTTGACAAAATGAGTGAGTAATGTAGTTTCTGTGGGAAGATGAGAAGCAGATGAGAAGAATTGAGGCATGTTTTGGCATTATTTGAAGTGAGATTACATACAGATATATTTCTTTTCTCTTTTATCTCTGATTCAGTCTTGATTCATACTGCTCTCTGATTTTTGAATCGAAGAAGGGAGGTAGAGAAAATAATGTCAATTTTGGTGTAGGATTTCAACTTACAGGTCTGAAACTACTAGTCAGATTAAAAATAGGTTCTAATGAGAAGAAAGTTTTCTGAGCTTTTACTTCTGTGGCACTTTCACCAAGGGCATCGGACTACAAAGACTGCCGTCTTTAAATCTGCTAATATCTTTTTCTTGAGTTGCAATTCTTTACCTGGGAATGTGAACCTCTCCTAGTAGAGCCCTCAGCTCTTGGATTAGTAGTGCCAATGAGAGCTTCAATGTCAAAAATTGAGCTCAGTAATCTCTAGAAGCATGCATTGTTGTGCATTTTTATGTTGATAATGCCAGAAAGGGAGGAAACTTAACGCAGTAAATTGTTCTGTTATGTTAGTATTGGTGCTGATGCTATAAGATAAACTCAGGCATAAATTAATTGGGTCCTCGACTCGGCTCACAGGATAACAGGAAATCTTTTAAATTCAACGTCGTCGAACCCTTGGATTTGGGAACCGTTGTTTCGGATTGGTTTGGCAGGACCAGGCATCTTTTAAATTGCGCTCTTTCGCAATACCACAATAACGTTTATTATTGCAAATGGAACTTTTATTTGTACAGCGACATCAAAAAGTTAAAAAAAAAAAAGAAAAAGAAAGAAAGACAGAGATTACAGATTTACACCTCAAAACTACACCCGACCTCTAACACTACACGCCACCTGATAAGAACAACAAAGCAAAAAGGGAAAAAACTGATCTACTTTCTTCATGTATCTTACACTACAATTTCTCTTTCATCCATACCCTCCAATAGGATATTATTGATATCTAACTGCATCTCAGCGGCCATTTTTATTCAAGTTCCAGGCTAATATTCTAAGAAAAGATGAACCCCCCCAGTCTTTTTTCTTTGCATAGGAATAAACCAATCCTTCAAACCCATTATGATCACTCACTATTTATCCATACCTCCCGAAGAAGTTGATACCTGACAGCATTACGGCTACCATTTTCCTTTGATATCCAACTGGATTTTGTTGAAGTAGGTGATGGCTGGAACTTGTCAAACGTTATAGAAGTCAAGGGTGAATCCAATTCATCAAGCTCATCATCACTAGTATATGACTTCTTGAGAACTGAAGACCGGCTTCTCGTCAGTTGAGTCTGGCTTCCAATATCTCCCAAGATACCTGCAAGTGAAGCTCCTGAAGGTGGCCGATAAGCTAGGGGGGCAGCAGCGCACGGGAAGTTTATAACTGAAGTTTCCTCAGCTTCAAATGGATCCTGAATCAAGAAACCACACACCAAAATTTATTTTTATTACTTTCCAGAGAATTGTTTATCATGAATATTAGTTTATGTGATCTTCATGCATTAAATCCGCTTCAGTAGCAAAGGGAAAAAAGTTTAAAAAAAATGTCTAATGGAGCACCCAAGAGTGTCCTAGACAAAAAGATGCAGACTCCGCAATGGCTGACCTCCGAATTCAAGGCTTCAAGCACAACTTCAGGAATAGGATCTGGGCAAAATTCGTCCGGCACGAAAGTGCTAAGAACCCTCCTTATCAATGGTGCACCAAATGTAGGACACACCTACAAAAACATGTGATTTAGCACAGTGATCAAGCATGAGACTAGACTAATCAAGTAGGCTGGAGTCTAAAATGAAAAGGTTTTACTAGTAAGGATCAGAGTCAAACCTCTTTTCTGATTGACCTACTTAAGAGCATATCCTTTGGAAGCATCATGAGGTCACTCAATGCATTGAGAAGATGAAAAGACTTGAAGGATGTATCACATTCTTTTGTCTCATCAGCATCAGTATTATCAGGGCCATCCTCATCTTCAAGAGAGTCATCATCCTCGATACCAAATAAGTCAGTAAGCCATCGCGACCAGTTCCCAATCTATCATCCATAACCCAACATATGCTCTTTATTCAAGAGTTATTTGAATCATGTTTATTAATCAAAGTAAATTCAAACTCTGCAGTGCTGTCAAAATTTGATAAAGGTAAGTTGAGAGGGGGGCTAAAATGTGTTGGCAGACCAAAAGAAAAGAATAGCCAAACGTAAGTAGAACAATGACCAGCTATTTAACAGGCATTTTTGTGTTGCTATCTTAGTATCTGATATGAAATCCATTCTGTCATCAATATTTCCAGAATAACCAGCCCTTTTTTGGAATTTCAAAAAGAATAGAAGATCTAGTCTAGTGGCATGCGTGCACGAGAAAATTATGAATGTCAACTGCAGTGACTGCAGTTTGACTTTAATACTAGCTCGATACAGTAAAATTTGAGCTTCTCACCGCATTTTTCAGTAGTGCGCCAGCCCCAAAGCTCGCTTTCCCTGCTGGAATAGGAAGAACCTTGGCATCACTAATGGGGTCAGATACAGGATCTGTAGGAATCTCGTCAGCAGATTCACGAAGGATAGCATTGAACATAGCAATATCCAATCTCATCACACATTGCTCCATTATCTAGTCAAACCAACCTAAATTCGTCAGAAGTGGATTTTCCTGAACAAAGACATTAACCACATATTGCCACCAATACATCAAACATGCCGACATTAATAAGACATCACACTTTCATGAGCAAAGTTATATGAGCTCAGAATGAATAAGAAGATCAA